AAAATAGCATTGCCGTTCGAACCACAGTAGGTAATATATTATTGAATGCCAGGTCTGTTATACAAAAGATGGCCCAAATCAGAGCCATTGCTCTGGAAATGACGCCTGATATTATATGTGTAACAGAATCTCGGACACATTCTCTAATTCCTGACTCTGCCCTTCTCATAGATGACTTCGATTTTTACCGCCAAGACCGCACGACTAGGCGTGGGGGTGGTTGTCTTCCTTATCTTAAATCCTACCTAAAGCACTCTCCCTATTACTTGGATGTTTCCTCATTCACGGGAAATTTCTGCTTTGCATCTGTTATTCTCTCGCCGCAAAGAAAGACAATTATTGGCTGTATCTACAATCCCCCAAATTCTTTAGCCAGTGATGATTTACAACTCTGTGAAATCTTTAAATTAATTTCGGAAGCTGCTTTCGATGTTAAAATAATCACTGGGGATTTTCACCTTCCTGAAATCGACTGGGTTTCCAATAGCTGCCCACCCAGATTCCAGCCCTTTCAAGATATTGTCAATTTTTCTAATTGGTCCCAACTGGTGCGCTCTCCAACAAGAGATAATCACATTTTAGATCTAATCTTTACCAATGACATTGCTCCTCTTTCTGTTGCTTTAAAAAGAACCTCTTTGACAGTGACCACGTATTAATTCATTGTTGCCTACCGCTTGGCTTTTCAAAAAAGACAAGCGCCGTTCAGACTTTCATGAACTACGACTGCGTAGATAGCGACTTAATAAATAACTATATGAGATCCTTGGATTGGTGTGGCTTCCTCACTTGTAGCGATGTAACCATTCTTCGTGATGTCAAGTCCAATGTTTCCAAGGGCATTCTAGAGTTTGTGCCGCGTAGATATCTCAAGCCTAATTCTTCAGATTCTCTTGTTCCTCATTTTCTTCAGAACAGACTAAAAAAGTTGAGGCGACAACTGCGTGACCTATCCACTAGTTCCTTATCTGTTCATCTTAGAATCACAGAGATATTTGAGATGGCCTCAAGGATGCGCCAAGCGCGCGACAGGCAAAGAGAATCAATTGGCCTCAGTGGTTCGAACCCTGGCAAATCCGTCATCGGTCCACCTCTAAGCGTGGTCATGAACTTCCACCCATGCTAAATGATAACAAAGTCTGCCTCACCGATGGCACTGACAAGGCGGAGTTGTTTAGTGCTTTCTTTGCAAAACACCTTGCTACCGAGTCCGATCCGGTCCCTTTCTTTCGATCACTCTCAGAAAGGACACTTAGTACAATTGATGTCTCCTCAGATCTCATTAAGAAACACATAAGCCGTTTGAAATACTCACACTGCTCAGGAACGGACGGGATTCCGAATTCGATTAGTAAACAAGCGTCCGACCTTCCCATATTGCTTAGTCATTTATTCTCGGTTTATATTTCAAAAGGATTCTTTCCTGAAACATGGAAAACGTCAATTATCATTCCCGTTTTCAAGTCGGGATCTCGGTCCGATGTTAATAACTATCGGGGCGTGCACAAAACGCCGTCTCTAGCAACACTTCTTGAAAGGATTATTTTCAATGAAATTCCTGACTTCTGTCTAGCTAATCGGCTTCTGAGCTCTAGTCAGCATGGATTTTTACCTGAACGATCCTGCGAAACATGCCACTTGGCTTTTCTTAATCTAATCACTTCTCTTCGTAATGAGCGGCAGTCAGTGGCAGTTATTTACTTCGATATTAGCAAAGCCTTTGACAAGGTGCCCCATAGACGTCTTTTAGTAAAATTGGAAGCTCTCGGCATCCGGCCGTCTCTACTCGACTTCATCAGGTCCTATCTGTCCAACCGATATCAGAAAGTCATGGTCGGTAATAGCTACTCGACACCCCACTCGATCACGAGTGGCATACTTCAAGGAACGGTTCTGGGTCCGCTACTCTTCCTTCTGTACATCAATGATATTTCGACTGAACTCGGAAATTCGCAAACTTTTGCTTATGCCGATGACCTCAAGTGTGTTTACTCATACTCTAAGGACACCGCAAATGTTTGTGTTGAAAAAATTAATGCCGATTTACTACGCTTAAGCAGATGGGGTTCGACATGGCAGATGGAGTTTTCATCATCCAAGTGTAGTTTCATGTCTTTTGGTCCTACCAAACTTCCTGGTCCCATAATTTTTCAGAATAACCCACACTGAGAATACCTCACCATAAAGGACCTAGGCCTAAGTTATACAAATAAGCTTGCTTTATCACCTCATGCAGATAGAATCTCTGCCAAAGCCGCGCAGATATGTGGATTCATATCGTACAATTTTTTCTTCCGGAAATGAAGTTAAGACTTTATCAAATGTTTGTTCTTCCAGTCCGCGAGTATTGCTGTCCTTTCTTCGGTTTGATGAACGCCTGCGACCGTAATAAAATCGGAAATGTTCAGAGGATTTTCACCCGGAAACTGTTCTCTCAAGCTTCGTCCAGTATTTCTTATACTCAGAGATGTCAGCTGGCGAACATTAAGTTTTTGTGGGTTAGAAGACTCGAAGCTGGCCTTTGCTTCCCTTTTTCGCATCAACTCTAGCTCCAGTCTTCCGCTCATTGACACTCCCACTCCGAGAGATCGGTCTTATGCCACGCGCAACTCCTGCATGGTGATTCCGCCGCCTCTTTGTACTACGTCTAAGCGCTCCCTCTTCTTTGCTTCCAAATATGCCTTCCTTTGGAATAATCTTCCGCCTGAAATTAGATAATCGCCTAGGTTACTGATATTCAAGTCGAAATTACGCAACCATCTTACACCGGAAAGCATAAAGTCACTGTTAACGGTCTCATTCCCGAACACTCAGATTCTTGACTTCGAGAAGGGTCCTCCTGGGATTTAGTGGTAGATTAAGTGGTAACTCTTAATTATATCATTAGAAACCCCTGTTTTGAATTGGTTTCTAAATCCATCGCTATCCTTCCCCCCATAGCGACAATTTTCGCGGTTTTTGATGTCATCTCCCGCATTCCGACCTCATGCGGTCTGTCGACGCTCACGGCGGAACCGTCAGTATTCACCGTCTACTAGTAGTTTGGTCGTGCCTCCCTTCCTCACTGCTCGGCTGAGCTCGAAGCGTGCTGTGGGCGATCGCATCTCGGTTCCTCTCGTCTGGCCTCTTTGACGCGGCGTACCAATCCGGCCCAGACGATCTCAATTGTGAATCCCGTATACAATGCCATTTGCAAGCCAGTCCTGTCTGACCCACATTCGTACCCTTCAAGGCTGACATTTATTGCTACCCTGACGACGACCGACAACATTTCGTTATATACCGCCACCTACAGGCCAGTCCTGCTCGCTTTTTTCTGTTATTATTTTTATGGAGGGGTTTTTTTCTCCTGTAAAATTAATGCAATCATTTTTAACTTTTTTCAAGGAGTTTTTTTTTCACCCCTCAATCATCATGTTTCCTAATGGACTTCTAATTCAGAAACTAGGACTTGCAATTTGTTAAGATTCGGCCTGCCTCGTCTAAAACTCGCATGCAAATTTATCTTAACTTGCTTTGATGTGATCCCGAGGGGTCTTTAATAAAAATTATCTATCTAATATTATCTATCTAACTTTTTCCAATAGCCTTCTGAGCAAATTAGTCCAAACGGACGTGAAAACTAAAGTCTTGAAAGCATTCCGGATTGTAAAATATAGTGAAGACAGGATAATAAAACTACCACCATGTCCTAGCAATATTATGCTGGATAACGAAGAGCGGGTGTTCGAAGTAGCTAACACAGACGCAATCCAGAACAATGTGAAATGTAGTAAAAAAATTTCACTGTGGACCCCTATGTGGCAAACTACAGAATCAAGTCACAGGTACGTATTTAGGTATCACAACAGTTATTATTATTGTATCTAATGCCAGTTTACAGGCCATATTAAAGAAAGGCAAAGTAGGGATCGGACTCACAGTGAAAAAGCCTTATGAATAAGCATAGAGGATGGTGTTTTTGTAGTTTGGGTGGTTCAGGAGAAAAAAACTGCTGTCCCTAAACTGACGGTAGTCCAGAAAGGGGTGGGTAACGCTACTTCGGATATTTTCAGTCTACATTCATCTTCTTTAAATTGATACTGAGCCAAACAGAGGGATTCAAGAACAATAGTTCGCTGGCAGCTGAGGAAACTGTCCGTGGTGAGACCGGCCAGAGGGTCAGAGAACATGACCTTGTAGTAGGCGGACCGTCCTTGGACTTCAGTGGGAAGGCTGGTTCCTGGCTTACGTCGACTCGCTGGATAGAAGGAGATGGGGATGGGGCCGTCTCCACCTTTCCTGAACGGTTGGGCTTAGATTTTGTCCTCAGGCGATCAGACAATGTCTCAACGTACAGACGTAATCCGAACAGTCGAAGAAGATGTAACAGGTAAACGATATATTGGGAAAAGGGGAGCAGTACGAAAAGGAGAGGACAAGGGAGGTGAAAACGCGGAATGTCTCAAGGGGTAAAGGAGGGAAGAGGAAACACTTGCTGGTCAGGGAGGTGATTTCGGCGGTACGATATCCACGGGGTCTTGGGCGTTTCCTTGCCGACGTTCACTGTCCTCACCTGAAACACCAGAGAGAAGGCGCACTCAAAACACGCCACGAAACCTCCCGCCTCCTTCTTTCCCGCTCGCCCGTTTTTCTCTCTCTTTTAAACAAACTTGCCTTTCCAGTTCTTACATACCCCCCTCCTCAGATGGAGCCCTGTCCGCAGGGCTGTCTGGTTGGGTCATGTCCACTGTTTCTTCAACCACTGGGGTGGACACTTAATGTGGGAGAATGATGGGGGTTACGTCCGCGGTGGCGGTGGGTAGCCGTCCTCTGTAAGGTTTTAGCTTGTCGAAATGGGTGGTGAAGGTGGGTCCATCGGGGCGTGAATCATCACGCAATACATACGTGGTGGGGTGTATGACGTCGACGACAACGAATGGTCCTTCCCACGGGTGAAAGAACTTTGCCGCCGTCCCTAAGGGTGGTACCTGTCGGAAACGCCAAACCAGATCGCCTAGTTAGTAGGGGTTGCCGTGGACCTGACGGTCAAAGTATGTTTTCTGTCGTTCGGCGGCCGCTCCTAGGTGGTTACGTGCGAGGGTGCAAGTGGAGCGTAGCAAATCCTGCAGCTGCCATACGTAGCTATCTGGTGCGTATTCGTTGGCGGCGTGTTGTGGGAACCGTGAATCTGCGGGAAGGCGAATTTGACGTCCTGTTAGCATAAAGAAAGGTTGGTAGCCCGTTGACGTGTGTGTGTTAGCACGGTACGCCACCATGGCACACGGTAGTCGTTTATCCCAGTCGTGGGAATTATGGTCTTCCGCGAACGCCTTCAACAGTTGATTCAGGGTACGGTTGGTTCGTTCCACCAATCCGTTGCCTTCGGGATGTGCTGGGGTGGTGCGGGTCTTGTATATATCGAGGAGGTCACAGACCTCTTGCAGCAGTTTGCTATCGAAGTTAGCCCCGCAGTCGGAATGTATCGACAACGGAACACCGAACCGGCAAATCCAGTTGTTAAAGATTGCGTTGGTGAGCGACACTGCGTCTTGGCGTAATAGCGGCACAGCCTCCGCCCATTTGGTGAAATAATCCACCATCACCAGTATTAACCGATGACCGGTTGTCGTAAAGGGGAGGGGGCCGATGATGTCCAGGCCCAGCCGCTGGAACGGAAAGCTAGTGTGCATGGGTTGCAACGGTGCACGTGGGAGTTGTCTAGGTGCTTTGAACTTAGCGCACGTGGTGCATGTATTGCAGAAGGTGGCGACGTGTCCTCTTAGGTGGGGCCACCAAAATCGTTGCCGAGTGGCTGCTTCTGTCTTGGCTTGCCCGACGTGGCCTAACTCGTTGTGTAGATCCGTGAGGACCACGTGTACGAGGCTGCCTGGTACTGCTACTCTGTCGGCTTTTGTGCTCTCGTCCTTAATGAGAAGGATATCTTCGTCGATATGAAGCCGTGGCCATTGGCTCCGCAATATATGTGCTTCTTCTGACGACCCCCGCAATTCATCGTCCGTAGGACGGTGTCGCCGGTTTAACAGGTGGTCGTAAACTACTGCGGTATCCGAGTCTGGGCTCTGGGCTATTGCCCAATGGTGTCTAGCTGGTTCGCTGGCGTAAATAGCGTTTATTTCGCCTATCGCGCGGTCTTCATCGTGTGTGGCTGGCGTTGTTGGCCGTCGAGACAAGGCGTCGGCGTTGCCGTGTTGTTTCCCGGGACGATATGTACAAGTGAAATGATATTCCTGTAACATTTCCTGCCAGCGAGCAAGTTGACCCTCTGCGTCCTTCGTGTTTTGTAGCCATTGCAGAGCCTTATGATCGGAGCGTATGACGAACGGCTTTCCTAGCAGATATGGCCGAAATTGTTTGACGAAGGTGACTATGGCCAAAAATTCACGTCGATATGTGCAGTAATTTCGTTGTGGCTTGGTGAGTGTTTTACTAGCGAAACAGATAACGCGTTCTAGGCCGTTATCGTCGGATTGCGAAAGTACGCCTCCCATGGCGAAGGCACTGGCATCCGTGTCCAGTACGAAGGGTGGCGCCGTCTCGGTGGTATTGGGGAGCATAAGTATCGGTGCTCTCGACAGGCGGGTTCTCAGCTCATCAAACGCGGCCTGGCATTCGTCCGTCCAACGAAATTCGCGCCCTTTCTCTGTAAGTCGGTGTAACGGACGCGCAATACCTGCAAAATCGCGAATAAACCGTCTGTAATAGGACGCCAACCCGATAAAACTTCTGACTTCCGTGGTGGAGTTTGGCGTCGGCCAAGTGAGAATAGCTCCCGCCTTTTCGGCTGAGACTTTGATACCCGACGGGCTGACTTCGTGTCCTAGGTAATTAACCTTCTCTCGCAAGAATTGGCACTTCTGTGGATTAAGCGTAAGGCCTGCCTCGCGTAACGCTAGGAGCACGGCGCGTAGATTATCGTTATGCTGGGCGATAGTTTTGCCAAAGACAATAACGTCGTCAAGGTAGATGAGGCACTGGCGCGGATAGAGGTGTGACAACACTACCTGCATCAGCCGTTGGAATGTAGCAGCCGCGTTACAGAGGCCGAAAGGCATCGTTTCGAATTCTTACAATCCTTGTGGTAGGATGAACGCCGTTTTTTGGCGGTCTGCCGGTTCTACTTCCACTTGCCAATAGCCGGACTTTAGGTCCAAAGTGGAGAACCATCGGGACCCAGCTAAGGCATCAAGAGTACACTGAATACGTGGTAGAGGAAACGAATCTCGTGTGGTTACTGCATTCAAGCGTCTGTAGTCGCTACAGAAACGTATTTTGCCGTCCTTCTTCGGAACTAAAGTTACTGGTGATGCCCAAGGCGAACGGGAGGGTTTTATCACCCCCGTCGCCAAAATACTATCTAATAACGTATCGACCTCCTTCTGCAAATGGGCTGGAATGCGCCGTGGCGGTTGCCAAATTGGTTTCGCTGTGCCGGTTTCAATAGCATGTCGTATACAACTGGTTCTGCCCAGAGTGTACTCGTCCCACGCAAAGACATCGTGAAACCCAAGTAACATCCGTTTGAGTGTCTCCGTCTCTATATCGGCCCGGTCTGTCGTGGGTAATATATCGTCAATGCACGTCGGGGGAATTTGAACTGGCGCTTGTATTGCAGCACAGGCAGCCGTTTCGCCTACGACCTGGGGCTCAGCCGGGCCTTCCGCGTCGGTATGTCGGAATTCAACTCGCCTATTCCGTACATCAATGTGGCATTCGTAACGCGCGAGGAAGTCAGTCCCGAGGAGTATGTCCCACGTAAGATGGCGTGTTATGATAAAGCTATGTTCGGCTGTGAAATAGGGGAGCGTCAATGTGAGCGGCACGGTCCCGTGGTGTATTAAGCGTGATCCGTCGGCCGTGGTCAATCTCCCTGGGTGGGGAATGTCATTACGCTGGCGGTGGATACCTGGTTGTAAGACCCGCGGGTTAACTAGGGATACCGTCGCTCCCGTATCAATCAACGCCCGTACAGTCTGACCAGCTACGGTTACTGTGGCATAAAAAGGGGTAACTGATAAAGTTGAGCTGGTGCAAGAAGTAATAGAGACCGTACCCGTTGTCCTCTGACAGGTGCAGATATGGTTGTTCTGAAACATTTGTCCACCTGGCCTGCGGAACGGTTGTCCTCGATGATTGAAGGGTGGCCGTGTTTGGCCTCTGAAACGTCGTGGGGGATAGAAGGTACTTCGTCCCGCGGACGTAGAGTGGGCATCTCGACCGTGTGCGTCTTCAGGGGGAAGGGAACGGGAGGTTGAAGGGCACAATCGCAGGTAGCGTTCGGCCCTGGTGACAACCTGTTGTAAACTGTCCGGCGGCTGCAACAATAGCGAGCGTGAAAGGTCGGATGCCGGCAGTGCTTTAATAAAATAATAAAGTACTGTGTTGTCTTTATCTGCGGAGCCCAAAGAGGGGAACGCCACAGTCGTCAGGCGTTCTAGATCCTCCACCAGCTGGGTAAGGCTTTTATCCTGGTTCAATCTCCGTTGTTGTAACTGTTCCATTGCGTCACCGAAGGAGTAAGCATGGCTGAACAGGTTGGCCAGGCGTTGGCCAAGTGTGTCAAAGGGAAGATCGGCGTCGAGACCAGCGTCGAGCGCTTTATCCAACTGTTTAGGCGCGAGGGCCTTGAGTAATGTCCAGGGCCGGTCGGCCTCTGAGATCTCCCGCAAATAGAACTTCGCGCGTCTGAGCCAAACTGTAAAAGACTCGGTACCATCGTAGGGTGGTATGTCGACGGTGCGCGTTGTGTTTACTTTGTTGCCAGACATGTTCAGGGGTTGTGTGCACGGTCGTTGCGCTGCCACCACTGTAGTAGGCGGACCGTCCTGGGACTTCAGTTGGGAGGCTGGTTCCTGGCTTACGTCGACTCGCTGGATAGAAGGAGATGGGGATGGGGCCGTCTCCACCTTTCCTGAACGGTTGGGCTTAGATTTTGTCCTCAGGCGATCAGACAATGTCTCAACGTACAGACGTAATCCGAACAGTCGAAGAAGATGTAACAGGTAAACGATATATTGGGAAAAGGGGAGCAGTACGAAAAGGAGAGGACAAGGGAGGTGAAAACGCGGAATGTCTCAAGGGGTAAAGGAGGGAAGAGGAAACACTTGCTGGTCAGGGAGGTGATTTCGGCGGTACGATATCCACGGGGTCTTGGGCGTTTCCTTGCCGACGTTCACTGTCCTCACCTGAAACACCAGAGAGAAGGCGCACTCAAAACACGCCACGAAACCTCCCGCCTCCTTCTTTCCCGCTCGCCCGTTTTTCTCTCTCTTTTAGACAAACTTGCCTTTCGGTTCTTACAACCTCAATCAATGCGGTAGATTAAATAGGCGGATTCAGCACCCAAAATTTGTGGGAAATTTTCTGAACGCGAAAAACGAGTAGTAATTCTCTTAAACGAAGAATAATTTTGCAGAATTTTTTGTCCCTGGGTAATTTGTTTCAGATTACAATTGTGTTCACAGAAAACAAAGGGCGATATTTAACAGAACGTGCCAGAGGAAGAAATAAAAATACTTCACCGGGACTATTGCGCCGAGGGTGGTCCAGATGTTTTAAAGTAGCCAGCTGGCCGAAAGTACGATTTATTTAATAGCCTAAACAGTAAAAATGATCCCTTTTTAGTCGACGAAACCACAAGGGATAAAGGCCTACAGGAGGGCAACGTTCCTGGTAGGTCAGGCACNGAAACCGCGCTGGAGCGCAACTGTAGAAACGACACAGAACAAAAGATACGAAAGAGACGAACGAACGGCCGGTGGGGGTAAATACCCTGTCAGTTAACACTCACAAGGTCATTCGCACATGACAGTAGTCCATTTGAAAGGTTCTCCGCTAACACACACTGTTGCCCACAATTCAACAATGATCTATGGTCACATTTCATCATCCTTCCCATGCACACCAACGGCCATCGGTCAGTTTAGCGCTACAGTTAGGTCCCAGCTCAACCTAATTGCTTGGGGTCTATACTGCTGAATGACATTTCGCAGGAACGCAGCCTGATGTCACAAAAATCGGGAGAACACTATCAAGAGCGTACTCTAACGTTTCCCTCCTGTATATTGTAGGGCCGATGCACGGTTCAGTAAGCAGGGCCAGCATATGCCAGGGTGTCCAACGGATTACAGACCACATACGCCCAGAAGATTGTATACAGTCGTCAACAGTCGCTGAGTAATGGCAGGAGAAGATAATTACACATCAAATGAACTGCGGCTTTGGAAATATGACGCATATTAAAACCTTTTGCATGCCAGCAGATGGTATTGCATTACGTTGCCTCAAATACCGGAAAGCGCAATTCCTAAGGAGACGATCTATCTTTGAAAATAGTCGACTTCCAATGTCGATGGTACTGGAAATCTAAGTGGGTTTCGTTTTGGGGCTCGCCGGTGGCGCAATATGCGGGTAAGATTGGCAACGGCCGTCTCCTGGTACGCCGCGTGAAGGACTGTATGCTATAACGCCTTTCGATGGGGAGTCGCCCAAGTTGGTGGTGAGGGTAAAGAGGTCTATATTAACGAAAGCGCGGTTAGACGAAGAACGTACAACGTCCGATGCCGAAAACAACAAGACCAACTGATCGGTTTGTACAATAATAGTCGCAGGTGAGCCGTTTTTGAGCAAGTAAACGATCGAAGTGCGGTCTCTCTTGTTGACATCCTGAGGAAATGGTCTGCATCCGGGAGCACAATTATAACTAATGTGTGGAAAGATTATGCTCCACTCGCAGCACTGGGTTACACCCACTTCAAAGTGAATCTCTCGAAAAACTTGTTGATTCGACAACCTGCAATCCTACCGATGCCAATGAGGTATAGTGGAGTCGGTTGAGACGACATCTGCAAAGAAGCCGTTTCCTGAAGGGATGGAATATTTGGGTAAAGCCTAAGGATGTGATTTGCCGCCTCCAGTATAAACTAATCGCTATCGGAATTCTGCAGGCCTGTCAGACATTCTCGTAACACGTGGCAGTCCTATGTTCAGTGAAAAGTCGTCACTGAAACCTACTCCAAGAAATCGGCTGATTGCAGAAAGTAATGAGAAGTTCTACCGTGTGTTGTCCGTAATAACACACTTCGTCACCTTTTTCATTACACCGTTGTCAGTAAGCCAATAGTAAACTCATAGTATCGGCTTTTTGAATAGAACGCCAGCATACAGTTGACCCTACCTCCCCTGCATGATTACGAATTGAACGATATTCACCGTGATCAAACTGGAGATCCCCTTTTTTCTCAGCAGGCCAGTGGGCAATGAATGCTACCTCCCGTTGGTGTATGCAAAAACCCTTGCTAAAAACCATGACTGAGGACTACTGATCTTCTAAGTAAGTGTGTCCGATAATATCGCCTGTGCTCAACTTGACATAAATAGCCAGTAGGCCATCTTTCTTATCAAATGTCTGTTCATTGCACTACGGCGTGTATAAGTGTTGTCGTAGTGAAAAGTGCAAAACGCAGCGATTTAGAAGCGGACTGAGAACCAGCCATAGTAAATGCGGTGTCGGATTATGGAAGACTACACCGTTTCAGTACGGGCAAGTTTGTTCTCCACGTAGTCGCACAATTATTAGGCAAACGAATTCGTCTTATGAAATTGTTCTTTTGTGTGCCACCCGCGATCTCCTGATTACTAGCACTGACGCTCTGTTTGTGAAAATATGTAAGTCTTTGTCGGTCAAGGATTACCATTTGAGTTATGTTGGAGTCATTAGTGAGCAGTTATGGAATAGATGAATAAACACAAAAGTTAATAACCCGGTTTGGCCAGGGACTGGAGACAGAAGAGGAGTATGAATGTAAGAAAAATCGGTTACCAGGTGGACTGAAATACGAAACACATCCACACGGAAACAGCTACCTGGAGTAAATCAGAGCCATAGTAGCTCTTTTCAGTGTCTCCTGGTAATGCGAAAATTGAAAAACATGAAATCACAATTTACGCAAGTTTTCTGTGGACTAGCACAGCAATTTAGGCTGAACACCATGGTGAACACAGACGAAGGTTATTCTGAAATATTAGGAAACGCGGGAGATCTATGACTGTCGTT